TGCCTCTTTTACATCTGTGAATCTCTCTTCTGTTCCCCACACCTGGACTTTGTGCTACTTTGATGAACCTTCCATCTGTGAAACCCGAAGTCAACTAAAGGGCTAATGATAACTATCAAAACGCCTGCCATTTAAAATAAATAAATATTAGAACAACCCCTTTGCAAATTGTATTTTTCAAGGAACTCACAATCACATAATTTATTTTTAAGTGAGAATGCGCGATAGCATGGAATCAGGACAATCTTAAATCCAGAACCACCCGCTCAACTGAATTTTAAATTTAAATTTTGATAAGACTGGCTACATTTAATCACAACGTTCTTCCCCAAAAATGTTCGAAAACACTATTTTTTGCAATTCCATAGACATCATTTTTGCTTATTTTTTTGCATTGTCTACTGGATAAAAATCCCACCGATTGGCAGAACTCCTTTAGATTTGCGGTATTCAAGCCGCTAACATCACACGTTTTGATTATTATGGTTCATAAAGGTTGATGATTCATTTTTCACTTTTCAGTCATCCTTTTCGCCTTTTAAGCATGTGGATTACTGGGAACAATGAACAAGTTTCCTCTCCATTTTAGCTGAAAACTACACAAAACTGATTTATCCCGTTTGTCAACTTCATTTCCGATTATGTGCATTATTTCAATACGAACCCTATCATTTTCTTTACTTCTAGTATTGACGGCAGTTCTCCGCCTGTGTCACCAAATACTCGGAGATCATGAATGTTTAGTTGGCATATAATAACTCCATTAAAAAATGAGCTATAATTTCGAACTAACTATTAGCAGCATAGTTCCATTTTATTATCTTCCTAAGCCTCTTCCCTTAAAAAAATCAATAGTGCAATTATGTAATTAGAAATGGGTACAAATTTGAAAAGATGAACTACACTACATTATTATCCAAAAATCGGCCTTCTACCAAACGTTAATAAACTTACTTTTCCATTTAAAATGAACAATCACTGTGCAGTTAGACACACAAACTGGTCAGGCATGTGAGCAGCTCATAGCAATACAATTAAGAATGGGAGGAGAAAGCGAAATAATAAGATTTCGTTCTCAGCAAGTCAAAACTTCTCCATAACTTGATTAGTTTCTTATGTCTTTCTCACATCTGTGACTAAAGTAATGGTAAAATTGAGGCTGATTGAGGAATTTCATTTCAAGCAATCATTTTGTTGAAGCAAAACTGTACTGCAAACGAAATATCATAATTAAAAAAAAAAACATTAGGGATGACGATTTCAAGATAATACAAACCTTTTAAAATCGAAAATCGTTTCTTCAAATGGTATTTTCAATGATATGTTCATTGTTTTTTTCATGACATATATTTTAGGACTAAAATGAGAAAAACCCTGATAACTTCATGAATGACTTCATTTTCATTGGCAGTTCGTTATGATCTGTCAAAACATCGCAGTATTAATTAAGTACTTTTTCCTAAAAGGTTGGCCACAGGGAGTTATTGAAGATGTGATTTGGAAAATGGGGTTCTAAGGGGTTGAATCTTTTTTAATACTCAATTGTAGATGTCTCAATGGGACCTTGAAACCACATTAATGGGGTTAGAGTACGAAAAACCATTTCAATCAATGTATGTGCATTCCTTATGACAACATTATTTTGCATCTGTGTTTCTTTACCTATCATTTACATTTGACACTCAAGCAACCTACTTAAATTGAAAAGTATTTTTGATATATTTTGCCTCGAATGGCAAAGATTTTTAAAGGGCAAATGGTGTGTCAGGAAACAACTTTAAAAGGCATTAGAGGTAATGTGAGATGATAGATAAGCTCACTTCTTTCCTTTTGAAGAGCAATTTGCTTATTTAGCTGGAACAAATGCGTGTCAGGAAATCCTTTTTTGACTGATAAAGCACACTTTGGAGTTATAATTAGTTACTAAGCATTTTCTGCTTCAATATATTTTCTTCGCCATTATTCCGGTTGACTTTTGCAAACAAATTAAATGTCGCTGAACGAAATAAACCAACGGGTATTGCTGTTAATTAAACTTCAAGAGAGAAGGTAAAGCCTAATTTAGTAGAAGTGAAATGATTCAAGGATAGTCACAAATGGTAATGCTCAAAAATAAAATGATTGATTAGATAATCTACCTTAGATAATGGATCAGTTTTTGGCATAATGATTTAAAACCCTCCGTTGGTCATTGTTATTTAGAGCGCTTTATATACTCAAACGGACCCACAGTTGTTTATATCTATATAAAGTTCACAATACTAATTAATTTTAATTTTAATTTTGTAATATATCGAAACAGATATATTTGCTTCTAACTATGTACAGCTGTTGCTATATTTGAACAACAATTCTCAGCATTTAAATGAAACATTGACAAAAATTAATCTCTTCATGCATATTCCAAGTTAGCTGATTTATTTCAATTTAATTTCTTGAACGAAACACTACATCACTACATCTTATTTCACTTTTGGAGATATGTTATCACCAGTTACATCAATTACAAATACGTTGTCCAAATTGTGTACAAAGAATACGCAGTTTAAATCAATAAAATGAAACGGACTGCGTCTCAGTCTTTTGTGAACTCCTTTTAAGAATCTCATCCCTATGCAGCATTATCGATTTATGCTTATTAATTTTTTCATAGCCGGTAAATACATTTTGACATTTTAGTTCCCAAAACCTAAGTGTTTTCTTAGTTTACGAAGAATAATTCTTTGTAACTAGATATTATGTTAGCTTTTACATATAAAAATGAAGATTTATCGACAATAGTATTAGACGTTTAAACGATCAACTTTGAAGTTTTTATTAATAGTAAATTCTTATATTACGCACAGGTTTTATTATATTTATAAAACGAAGCACACCAATGGGTTGCTTTGATCATGAAAAAGTTTAACTTAATAAAATAAAATTTCACTATTCATCTAGCAAAATTATAATTGACACAACGGAAATGTTGTACAATCATTGTCGTACTAAAATATAAATAGATACATGAGAGACTTCACCATAAGTATTAAACTTTTTTATTTCAAATGAAAGCTCCACGACGTGGATATAATGAAATAGCTGAAAAAATTAAAATTATGTAAAATTATACATAATTGACAATATAAATTTATGATTATATGTCCGGTTATTAGTTATGTCCCGTTTTAGAATCCGTGATCCGAAGGAATTGCTCAAAATTAATGCGAAACCAATGGGACCAATCAGAACTGCCCATTAAGCAATGAGCCCGCCTATGACTGTAGGGCTTAACAGATCAACGTTATTAACGCAAAACATACGAACAGCACACACCACGCTAAATGAAAATTGCAGGTGACTTATAAATGGGAGCAAAATACATGCGAGCTTTCTATAGGTGACACGTCTATTCAAATACATCAGTATTTTTTATAAATTACTGCTACTTCACCTAAAATGCACAGAAACAACCCACCTAAACGTCATTCGGATAGCGAAAGACTGCGCAAATATAGTGAAATCCTCCTTCCCCGAGCTGTATCGCACACCTTGAAACGACCTCATTGTGAATTCAGTTCCTTTGAAATGAGCAGAGATGAGAATCACAAGTCTAGTCATGATTCCTTACTCCACACTCTGCGTCGTCCTAACCCTGTGATTTCTGAGGAAAGAGAGGACCCACCTTCGATTTCGGTACAATCTGCTGTAGCGAATAAATCGTGGCGAAAACTGAGGAAAGCTATCCTGCTCAAATCTAGTACTCTGATTGCCGATCGAAAAGAAAGCAATAATGTGAACAGCAATGATGACTTTTTAGATTACTTTTCCACATTTAAAAGGCCGTCCCAAAATTCCTACTGTGCAAGACGAAGTATTGGCTCGCGAAATGACACTATAAATCAGAAATCATCTTTAGTTGATGATCAATTCTTTTTTGAAGGATTTAACAAACTATCGGATCCACAACCTAGTTGTGATGAGAAAGAACCCACTCACGATTCATCTTCTCCTCCTGAAACCCAGAAGCATTCTCTACGGATTTTTAGAAATCCAGACAAAGAATTGGAGGTCAAAGTACCAAGTAGTAAACTTCTCCATATCTACCAGCCTCAAACCAAACACAATGCCTCCTCTTCTAAGGAAAGTGTTTCAATTCAAATTGAAGAATGGGGTGGTTTGGAAGATGACTGCCTACCCGATGTTAAACCTTCCCAATACAAGCCCAAATACCCTTGGTGGCATCACTTACGATTCCTCAAATACTGCCTTCCCAAACGTGCTCGATTCGCTAAATCCTCCAACATTAGTGATGCCAATACGTCCGCGAATGATAATAATATTAATCACATTAGAAACACCCACTTCATTTGTAATCCTCAAGGAAAATTTATGTTTATTTGGCTGGGAATTGTAGCAATGGCTACGGTATACAATCTTTGGACAGCAATTCTCCGACAGGCCTTTCATGAAGTCCAAAAAGGTAGGACAGCGCTTTGGATAGGACTAGACGGCATAGCGGATTTAATTTACCTCGCCGATATAATGGTTCAATTTCGAACAAGTTATCTCGAAAAAGGTCTGGTCGTAAAAGATACACGAAAGATAGCAACTCGTTACCTTTGGTCGCGAAATTTCGCTTCCGACAGCCTTGCACTAATTCCGTTGGATCTCTTCCAATTAGTGATAGGGATACACCCACTTTTACGGTTTCCACGTTTCTTGAAATGCTTTCGGGCATGGCATTGGAAGATCATGGTTGAAAATCGGACCACGTTTCCCAACTCCTGGCGTGTGTTGACATTGACCCATATTCTATTTCTTGGATGTCATTGGTTTGCGTCCATCTACTACATCTTGTCCGAAAGCACACAATTTCAGGATCCGTGGGGATATCCCGCCCCTGTTACGCCTGAACTTCAATCACTCCTGCGAAAATACTTGCAATGCTTCTATTGGGCTACTGTTACCCTGACGACTATTGGTGACATTAACGACCCATCTGTAACTTTTCAGTGAGTTTGCCTTATTCCTGCATTTTAGAGTATAATTTTCCAGATTATTATTATTCCTATTTTATATACTTATTCTCGTAATGATTTTACCTAAGTTGGTATTCACTATTAATTGTTGATTGTGGACGCCGGCAATCACTTAATTTTGTTTCTAAAGAAGGTCAAACAATTGTGTGATTTACTTGATCTTAAAGTCACATTGTGACGTGGTTTGTAGGACGGTCTAAATGTCACACCCTGTTTTCCGCCAAAGTTTTTGTGTGCAAATGCCAATTTAATTGTTTGATTACTACACTTGAGAGTTCGTTTTAACAGAGACACTTATCGCTCTGCTTCACTTCCTCACTATTTGATCTAAGAAGGTGATTTCAATTCAAGTCACCAAGATGATAGAATAATTCAAATACTTCTGTTTAATTTTGCATAGGTAATGGAATCCAATGTTCAATTGTAAATCTTGACCATTAATCAATTTTATTGCAAGACCAATGAGATCATAAAACGAACTATGTTAAATGGAGAAATCCATGCGGTTAATTCTGCCTAAAAATATGCATTAAATAAGTTGCTTAACAACATTTGTTAAAATTGAAAAGCGATAATAACTTTTGTTTATATATTGATATTGTGGTACAACCGAAACGAGGTTTACTAAAATAAATAAAGTTAAAATAAGAACATAATGCCAAGCAGTCATTATGAGCAGATTAATTCTAAATGATTTTCTAACTGCGATTTGAATAGCCGTCGTTAATTAAATGTTTTAGTATAATTTAAAATTAAGAGCCTTCTATATACCGCTCCACAGCATTAACATACACGGTATTGCACGCAAATCGTAAATCTGTCTTTGCAAGAAGGCATCAAAGCATAGAAAGGAGAAAAGGCAAAGGGTCGGGGCATCGTACAAGGTTTACAAAATTTGCTATTCCACATTAGGCTCTTTCCCTCGTACCTCCTGGATAAAGCCCACTCGTTCATTTAATAATACCATATTTTTTTAGATTTCAAGTACTTTCTATCAGTTTTATAGGTTATTTCATTTGTCCTAAATTCAGGACTCTTTCACCACTACCGATGTATTTTGCTTTCTACGCGAAAGTTCAAATTTTATTGCCTTAAAATATATACAACTCGAGAAGGAATTTCACTTGTTTACTGCATATTTGATTAAAATTTGATCCAGTGTAAGTATCATGTTTTAGACTTGAACAAATGAAAAAGTTGACATTCAGAAAAAACGTCAGATTTGTATCACTTATTTTTTACTCAAATCATATTGCTCTAGATTTTGAAGTTGAAATGTACCACAAATTTGTAACAAAGAATAATACAAATTAAATTATATCGATGTGTTAAGGGCAAATTAAAATATGTCTAAGAACGCGTATATTGGTTTTAATATTTGTTTTTTAAATATAAGTGCATTTTCAGTTCAACTGGAGATTTAAACAGAGAGGGAGGGAATAATTGTTCTTGCATCAATGGTTTATTGGATTATAATGAGTACCAATTGAAATAACTGAACAACTCCAGCCATGCATATCGTAACGTGGAAGGTATTTGGAAGTGCATATAAAAAGTAACTTAATAGCCTTCAAAATATTCATTGCAAGGAATTGGCAAAGGATTTATTTTACGATACCCATTTTTAGTGATTTTGGAGGGCCACTATTTTTTGAGTTTTATTAAAAGATGAAATTTTTATAATTGTGTTTTTTAGCTAAAGTGCTTTTTAATATTAAAATAAGCTAAAACTAATTCACTTTTAAGTTAAATACGGCCTTGATTGATTGATATGTTGAGAAAAAGATAATTTGGAACAATCATAACTTGATAATAATTTCTCAGATACGAACTTCTTCCTTCTTTTGACTGAATATTCTTCTGTGAACGTGACTAACTAAAAATCAACATTCTCATTTAATTTCCATTTGATAACACCAAAAATATAGTTTGAGGCCAATTTTTTCAATATGCTCTGTAAAGGAGTACCCATTTTCTCACAATTATTCACGACTAGTCAAAAATTTTAAAATTTTGAATAGTGTCGAGTTTTTGAAGCAAAGTAAGGTATATTAAAAGGTGGGGAACAATTGGGCATTAAAAACACTTCAGTTATGTGTGCTTCATTGAGGAGACATGGTGCATTTTCAAAAGATCTAACGCCACAGTATCCAGCAGCCATGCTCTAGATTTCTAGATACTTTTGTGGGAAATTGAATTTGAATGCCGTAAGATTCGTGTGGTGCTATTTGTCTCCAATTGTTCACGGGAAATTAACCTGCAGTAGCCTTAAGTTGTGCCTTTAGCTTAAGGGCCAATTTGAAATAAAGTTTTCTTTGAATCCATACATTTATTAGCAACTCATATTGCTCATATTAATCATTTCTTTTTAATTAAAATGATTAATTTAACATCATTTTAATATTTACAGGAAGCATTTTGACGAATTTCAAAATAATTAGCTTATTAATGTTTTATAACCTTTAAAAGTTCCCTTTTTAAATTAAAATACTTCAGTTTTATTTTATTTTGTGCGCTTTTAGAGGGGAGAGCATTAATAATTTTCCAAATTTGCTAACATTTTCACTATTCATATGTCTGAATAGAGGTGCCTAGTTGTTCATTGATTACAATAAATCTTTGTATTTCATTATTCAGCTATCTTTAATTAAAAATATAATTAATTTCATTTAGCGTAACATAAAAAGAGTTGAATACCTAGATAATCCCATCATTACTTATTTGCTAATTTTTTGAATTATATATACCAAAGCATTATTACTGCCAATAAATATTGTTATTTACTATCAATTACAATAATGGGAAAAACCATTAATAGTAAAAAACAAGTTTCTTAAGATTAAATTCATATTGGAAAGAGATTTAAATTTCCACTTCTATCTTATGTAAACTAAAATTATAAAATCTTGGAGTGTAGAGGTATTTTTTTATAGAACGACTGAACATTTATCTGACTTATTATAACCTTAGTGACTTTATATGTGCTCCATGACTTTAAAAGACCAATACGGACTTTTTATTACTGCACTTATCAATATTCATTCCTTGGATTTTACTTAAAGAATATCTAAAAATGGTTTCGGCTTTTAAGTAAAAGTTGGTCAATCACGAATTTTTGGTTCATGAAAAGTAAGGCGGTGAACTCTGCAACTCAACTATGAGCATCTTTGGACATTTTTGTGGGTTATGATGATATGACCACGGCTCTGCCTAGGGCCAATATCTCTAGATGAAAGAAGACAAATATGAACTACTTTAGTTAAATATGTTTTGTTTAGATTTTTATCACGTTTTCTTACTCTAGAAATTCCGATATTGATTATATTTCCAAAGAAAGTATAATATATGATTTTAATGATTATTCTGAATTTAAAATATTTCAAAATAAGACGAGATTATTTCACAAAGCCTCCATTTTCTTATTTCTACTCTTACGCAATAGCCAATTTTAAGGCTATTTATTCAAGTCTATTAATAGGTAGTTGACTTCTGACTTCAAGTTACCATCACCCCACTGTATGTCATGGTTCACAACTTCCACAGTACTCAACTCACCTTTGTCCCTACCTTTGTGTCTATCTGTCTCTTCTACATCTGTGAATCACTCTATTGTTCTCCCTCTCGAATTTTTATCGCTTTAATGTTCCTCCCTCTGTGAAGCCTGAAGCCAGCTAAATGGCTAGTGATAACTATTAAAAACGCCTGCTATTTGAAAAAAAATATTTAAAGTGGAAAATAAAGAAGAATGCAAGTTTTCATACTTGAATGGATAATTCTGACTCTACTTTATTGCCCACATTAATGTAAGTATTATCTGAGTGTTTCCATTTCACTTTAATGATTTTGGCAATATAACAGTATATACTCCGTTGAGTAATGAAACGTGAACTTACTACTGAATTTAAGTAACTAAGTGCGATTTCCAAACGTGTTCACAAAAGATGGGAATAGAAAGCTATTTGGTAATAAGTCCCTTCCTTGAAAAGTGAATATTTGCTATTAAATCACATTTAATCATTAAAGAAGCCGTAATAGATTTATCGACAATACCTCCTTTAGCTGACAAAAAGACTTTTTTCATATTTCTCAGCACTTTGAAAGGCAAGGTTTTACCCTCTCTCCTCTACGCATGCCCATAATTTACTCCCAATTCTGCTTACTTATTCTATATTTACGATGATCAAAATGGTCTAGAGAATTTGAATTAACGCATTAAAGAGCTTTCTAAACTATAAACTTTCCTGTGAATATAGAATATCAGATGTAATAAGATAAATTTTATTCGCTAGGATTAATAATGTAAATTCCTATATTCCTTCAACCGTCCTTAAATGCAAATTTATTTAATCTATTCTTCAATACTAGTTTTCTTGATAATAATATTATGGACAATACTTTCAGACCGGGTTGGCGAAGACTTCACACAACGGAAAAATGGTAAACAAATTCCCAGCGGGAATGCTGTTTTATGTATTACTTTCAGCATACTTTTGTGGTGTATATATATATATATATGCATGGTGCATTTCTGTGATGCAAATAGTATTTCTTTTAGCCACAGAGACTCTCGCATTTGTACCTTTTTACTATAAATAAAGAACCAAATCAATTAACGCTTATATATTTAAATATATGCCTTAAAATAATGGTTTACAGCAAAGTGCCAATATACATATCTGAATGAATTGTTTGCTGTTCATCGATGCAATGTCGTTGATGCACGCCTGTACATTTGTAGTTATATTTGATTTCCTCGTACGTCAATAACAGCCTTCTTTCCTTATCAGGTATGCATTTACAATAACCACCTATCTGATTGGTGTCTTCGTGTTTGCTACAATTGTTGGTAAATTATACATTTTCCTATTTAATTTTTTTTATTCTTCATACCATGTCTTTTATTTCTTATAGTCAACTTTAGAATAGTGTGAACAAAAAAATATTTAATTTTACCAAACCCATCTATGATTATGTATT